ACAGACAGACAGACAGACACACACACAGACAGACAGACAGACAGACAGACAGACAGACAGACAGACAGACAGACAGACACACACACACGCACACGCACACACTTGGGCCAGAACCAATCATGATCTCCTCGATCTTTTTGCACGTGCCAAGCGTCGTCAGCTCTGGGTTATCAAAAGTGGAGACCTGGGACTCCGATCTGGTGGGGGCCTTTGCCTCGCTGCTGGGGCCGCTGGGGAAGCCACAATGTCTGCTCCGAGAACAGCGGCCAAGCGCTCGGAACCGTCGAAGTCCTCGGAGAGCCAAAAGCTACAGCCAAGCGTCTCTTGCACTACTTCAATTCCGCACATTCGCTAGACCGACTGCAGATGAAGGTGTAGATTGTAGATACAGTACCAGTGCTGCATTGGGGCATTCGGGAACCAGGAAAGGGATGTGGGCACTGTGCAGGGGGGCACATGGCGGACAGCAAACGACCGAGCACCTGAGCGACTGCAATGACAGATGAAGGATCGAATGAAACGTCCGACACTGCCCGTGCAGCAGCATCAGGACACCTCCGGCACATCCTTATCCTTGGCCATGGACCGAATGCTCGATCGCCATGACCCCCGACTCCTTGAGCAACTGATCCTTGAAGTTGTGTTCATGGTCAGTTTTTTGCAGAGCTACTTCAAGGCGAGACGGGGGCGCAGAAGCTGAGATCCTAGCAGGATAGTTGTAGATCAACTGCCGGTTGATGAAGACCTCAGCTGCAGTATCCGCAATCCACTCCCATGGCCCGGGGACACGCTGGGCGCCCTTTCATTGCACTTGTGTGCGGCGATCTTCTCTATCTTTGCCTTCATCTTCTCCTGGCTCCGTCGGTCAGCGCCCTTACGCCTTGCGGATCTTATAGGCCTTCTCGGCTTGCTCGATCTCTGCCACGGCTTCCAGAGAGTCCACCTGTCAATGGGTCTCTGAGCGGGATGAAGACCTCACTGTTTCGTGGGCTCCCCCTGCCTTCACCCGAGCTCCATAGATCTTGACCTTGTCCGTGTCCATTTGGCAGTTTGCCACCAGGACCTGTCAGTTGGAGAAGCCCGATTCTGCCGTTTTGCAGGGCTCACCTTGCCTTGCAATCTTCGAGCAGCTTCTTGTGGCCTGAGACAGCCCAAGTGACGGCGGGTGGCGAAAGCAGTGATTCTCCGACACCATGGCAGGGGTTCCGGCCAACACCAATTCTCTTCTCCAGGATGAACCCCTGTGAGGCTGCAGCCGTAAAGTCGACAATCTGTGAGCTGGAGCGAATGCGTACCATTGCGTACCCTTCGCCTCCTCCAGGAAGGAGTCCTTCAGGGAGGCCCCGGGCTTTTTCAGCACCTCTCAGAAGGGAGAACACAGGGCTTCCGGATAATGCGTGACATGTCGGACGCAGGTGCCTGGATGTAGTCCAAATTTGGCCTTGAAGTCTCTCAACGATTCTCCCCTCTTCTTCGCCGAGTACCAACCAAGCGATTTCCACCCACCTAGTCACCTAGCCGACCCGCTCGGTCCGGTGCTTTCCACCCAGACGAAGAACTGCATCGACGGCCAACGTCGCAAAATGGTCCTTCTCGTGCTGTAGCCTGAAGAACCGGCACTGCAACAGCGCATTCGACTCGACGACGACGACGGCGCCAGCTATCAACAGAAGCAACGTCAGGAGACTCTAACACCTTACGGGGGCAGCCACAGAGGCAGCTCTGTCAGACAGTCCATCAGACAGTCAGGAAACCCCCCGACAAACCCAACAGCGAGCGCACAGGCACCGAGAAGATCACCAAAGCAGCCCGGAGTCGAACCCAAATTCGGTACATTCGAGAGAGCATGGAGTTCGCAAGGCAAACAAACAACCGCAGGCGCACACATGAAAGGATTCAAATCAAGAGAAGGAGGGATGAGGAGGAGAGGAGGAGAACATCGACCGAGGCACGAGCCTGGCCTAACAAAAGCCAGCCCCTCCGGCGCAAGGCCGAAAGAGCAAGTCCCGGCAACACGAACAGCAACAGGAAGCAACCGAGCGAGACGAACGAAAAGGAATGAAGCCAATGAATATCCGCACGGAGCAGTGCCCAATTTGTCTCACGTCCTTCGCCGGACGACGTCAAGAGAAACACCCTACTAGTAACTACCGACCGATGGAGAACACACTTGCAAATAGCGCAACCTTCACGCAAGAATTGAGACACGTCAGGTGAGAACGTCGGCATGCCCCCTTTCCCCGGCCCCACCACCGCCTTGGGTGCCACGAGACATGGAGAAGAGAGGAGACAAGAAGGCCAGGGAAGCTAAAGTCACCTCACAGCCCAAGTAGATTAGCAAGGCAAATGCCAACCATGCAATAAGCAGGCTCGCAGCTTTTCCCACGAATCGCAAATGAAACAGGGCAACATGCAGTGCAATGAAACTCTCTGGCTACTGCACAACCGTCATCAACCGTCCAAAGTGAACGGTGCGATGTGCCAACACTGGAGGTGCTGTTCGGACCCAATTGGAACAGCACACTGGCAACAGAAGGCTGAGAAATGGCACCCAAAGAAGGAAAGAAGACTCAGACGAGCACACCGATGGACACACCGACACACCGAGCGCCGAACAGCTTGGAGCTCAGAGTGGTCCTGGCTATCCTCAAGAGATCCTGGCTCTGAAAAGACTTGCGAGCTGGACATGGACGTAAGGGATGGGGATGGATAGATAGATCTTTAAACAGAGAGGTAGATAGATGCAGGACGGGAGAACATAGCATCGCTTCCGAAACGACTTGAGAATATTGTACCCTGGGCCTGCGAGCTGACGCGGCTTTTTGCAGAAACCATGCGCTCCTCGCGAAATTTCACGGGATCGCTGCCGTTGTCCATTGCCAGTGCTTCTAGCCTCAGGACATTTTCCCCACGCTTCATTTACTGTAACAGCTGCTGCGCTAATGAACTAAACCACTGGCGGCCATCTTTCGCTGAGACTCGCTGTGGCTACTTTGATCCTGGGTTTGGCCAAGCCCTGGACTTGGCCCGAGCGGCTGCCAAAGCCATGCGGTAGCCTCGGATGATGACCTGCACAAATCTCGTTTCTCCTCATCCTACAAGTAGCGCGCCGAAGGCAATCCTCCAACGACGAAAGGACAAATCACATCAAGCTCTGTGACAAACGCCGGGTGAGGCCCGGCATGTCCAGCCCAGCAAAATCTGCAAGGCAACTGCCACGGCCTGGGGATGCATCTTCGCCTCCACTAGATTCTGCGCCTCGTCGACTCTTCCACATCATGGCCAACCCATCCCCACCTCTTCCCATTCCCTGCCCACTTGTGAGTATAAGAAGCACGGTACACGAACTGGTTGATGGCTCAGGGCACGGCATTTCGCAGCATCTCAGCTGCAAGCACCACAACTGATGTCCTTCGCGAGAGATGTCTCGAATCTTCTGCTTGAAATACCGTGCGCCCAGAGGGCAACCGGAGCTTCTCGGCATTTGAGCCGCGCACGTGCCATCGCCACATTCCTGATCCTGTCCCATGCGAATGCACCAGAGCTAGCCGGAACCCGAGCTTGAAGAGCGGGCATTTGCAGTGAATCATTGCCCTTGTCGGCTGCTGGCCTGTGTCTTGGAGATGTCGACCAAAATCCTGCGCCAAAAAGCAGAGGTGCAAACCACAATCTGGCTCCGTAGGAACTTACTGCTCTCACTCCTGGCTGCAGGGTTGTCGATCCAAACGGACTTTAGGATCGTGGCTCCATCGTTGGTCACAGTGGCATCTGTCCATGCACAGGTCATGCATCAAGAGCCCAGTGTCCTCGCTGCGAGTCGCGTCCCTCTAGTCTGGGCTGCCGGCTGGACCCGGGTCCCTGGCCAGCAGGCTGCAGGATCTTGTCCATGCCTGGGGACGAGAGGAAAGGCGCATGAAGCAAAACTACCGGTCCTACCCGTACCCTGTTCTGCCTTTTGGTCCCAGGGTGGACTTCACCATGTCGCCAATGGCTATAGCTCCGATGAAGGCCTCCAACAACAAACGACTTGGGCCGAGGGAGCAATAAGAAGCCATGAAGCATCGGCTCCTGCCTGCAGCCGGGCGAATTCGCCTGCTCAGTGCTTGAGAATCCCTGGCTGCCGCTCCACATCCTCCAGCTGAGTTCCCTGCCTCGGTCTTCGCCTGCACCTTCCTTGAAGATCTCGGGGCCCCCAAGAAGTGCCTTGTGCCTGCCGAGCCAGAACGATGCCTTTCGGAGGCAGATCAAGCAGGTCGAACATGCCGGGCTGGCATCTTGAAAAGAGGCTCAAAGAGGCTCTAGCTCCAGTTGTGGAGTCTTGGCACGTGCATTGGAGCCTTCCCTTTGAAAGACGCTGCGGATGCAAGCGGCAACTTGAAGACCCCGAGACGGACTTGTGACTTGTTGCAACCCAGATAGCTTGCAGATCACCTGGCCCAGCATTCAAGGGTTGCCAAAGCTCGTGTGATAGCTCCCAAAGCCGTGTATCGCGGTCTTTGCAAGGTCTCTCGCTGCCGAGGTCCCCCAGGCACATGACAAGCTGTAACTGCAGAGAAACTTGCCGTCCATCGCAAGGGGTTCGGAAGAAGAGAAGAGGTTAGTCTCAGCCTTGTCATGCTTGCAGGTGCCCCAGTTACTCCGAAATGAGGAGCAGTGTCCAAGGCAAAACGACCCGAGTCGTGAGCCGCCCCTGAGGTACACTGTAAATCCACTTCTCTTCTTTTTTTGCTACGGCCCTGCGCGCGGTATGGCGCGCATTGGCGCCGGCTCAAGCACTCTAAGGTGTCTGGCTATGAGGGCATACTTAAAGTGTGGCCCAAAGATGCTATGTCCCGAGGCGGAGTGGTCATAGATTTCTTTGAAATGACGCTTAGCGGTGGTTTCTGCCCAATAAGCTATCTGTCTTCCTCTGCGGCGTCCCTGAAGCTTGATTCGGTCTTTATACGGCTCCTGAAATACTACACTGTAAACCGGCTCATGGGGAGCGGTTTGGTAAACTCGAGTCATGCACTTCCGTTCGAGCTTGAGGAGCGTATCTGAAGGGCGGCGGGGATATCCGGCTTGGTACCAAACCGTATGGTTAGTGATTCGAGAGAAGTAAGCTGCTTTAATACCTATGACTCTGCGCAGATACCCGAAGTAAAATCCGTTAAGTCTTTTGAGTTGCGGTGTGGTCAGGGTAAATGCGTCAAGGCCGTACAAAAGCGTGGGTAAGAATACTGAAAGGAAGATTCGAAGCTTGGCTTTCTTGGGTAGTCGGCTGTTCCAGACGAGTCTTAATTTTTTGTATGCTTCGATGGTTAACGCCCGACGGTGAAAGAAGGCCGTTTCAAAAGGTTTGTTCCAGGAGACTAGGGAGCCAAGATACTTAACCGAGTCTGAAGTAGGTACCTGGGAGCGGTCCTGAAAAAATAGAGTTTGGGGCCCAAATCTGGGGTCAATCAAGAGTTCTGTTTTGGTGGAGTTGAGGAACATTCCATACAGAGAGGCTTCGACTTCCAGGGAGGAAAGTATCTGCTGCATTTGCGGTGTGGTCAGAGAGATTAGTAAAGTATCGTCAGCATACTCCAAGTCAAAGCAGGAATGGTTGATTGACCAGACGTTAGTAGGAACCCCTGTATTCAGAAGCAGATCCTCAACGTCCTCGAAAATAACCGAAAGGAGAATGATGAAGAGGTACGGGCTAAGTGGGCAACCTTGTCGGATGCCCGATCCAAAAGCTCCAATCGCTTTGTCGCCAGTGGCGGTATGCAGTTCGAAGGACGCACCTTTATAAAATTGTTCGACAAGTTCTAGTTCAGCCACTGGGAGGCCAAAGCGTCGCAGCGCAATGATTAAGGCGGAATGGTCGATAGAATCAAAGGCCTGTTTCCAATCTAGGAAAAGTAGGTTGAGGGGCCTTTGTGTCATATTAGCCCACTCCATAGCCCTTCTTAGAACGAACAGGGGTTGTGAGGTGCCGCGGTGTGGTCGAAAGCCATATTGGGAATTTCTCAAATCGTCTTCGCAAAGTTTTGAGAGTCTGGCTTGAATCATGGAAGCAAGGATCTTATATGCCATATTTAGAAGGGAAATTGGCCGATAGTTTGCAGGGTCAGTGTCAACCTCCCTTACCCTTAAAGATGGCCACCACCCTGGCCTCTAGCCAGGATTTGGGGATCTTCGGGTCCTTTCTGAGGTCATTATACAGTTGCAAAAGTTCAGCTTCGGCGGTGTGGTCAAGCATCTGAAAGAGCTCCCCACTAAACCATCGGGGCCTGGTGCCTTTCCTTTTTTGATCTTGCCGATGGCTTCCTGTAGATCCTCGAGTGTAAAGTCTCCCTGGTCAGGTTTGGTCGGGCGCAGGGGGAGCCTGTTGTTGAGAATAGCTGCGTGTTCGTCCGAATTTGGGCGTTTGTGCCATTGTTTTTGTGCGTAGTGGTCCCGGAACGCAACATGCGTACGACTCCAGGGGACTGGCTTTCCATCAACGTGGAGGTGTGATTTTCTGCCTTGAAAACCTTTCTTTTGGTTACGGACGACTTTCCAGACTGCGGAGTGGTCAGCGCGTGGATCCGCGAGCAGCTGGTCGTGCACCCACTGGACCCTGTCTTTTTTGGCAGAGCGTTTGGCCTGGTAAAGAAGTTGCTTGGCGTTGTCTTCGCCGTTCGCGCTAGCCGCTCGGGCTTGGGCTAGCTTGTTCAGGGTATTTTCCGTGATCCAGGGTCTGCGCGGCGCGAGTTTTTGCGTTGGGAAAACAAGCTTTGCTGCAGCAAACATGCGAGCCTCTAGGGTGTCTGAATTATCAGAGCGAGGTGCGGAATGGTCTGGATAGGGCGCCGTGGTGCCCTGTACAAAGGCTGATTGTCTACCCTGATTGGCAAGTTTGTCAGCTCTTTCGTTTCCTTCCTGCCCGACGTGTGCTTTAACCCACTGTAGGTGTAGTTGTCCGATGGACCTAAGCACCGCGCGGATATAGTTGACCATTGTTTTGTGTTTTTTCGCTTTCCATCTCCCCTTCAGGACGTTAATGGCCCACTGGCTATCCGAATGGATAATTACCTGGCGGTATGATCTCTCGTGCGCTAAAAGCGCTGCTTCAAGGATTGCCGTGAGTTCGCCTGTGTTGTTTGAACCTACCGCAGCTCCACAATATCTAGGGTGGTTAGGGTCGGTTGGGACTGGGCCAAAAACGTCCTCCCAAGAGTCGTGGAGCCGAAGACAGAATCCCCAACCTGCTGGGGTGGTGGCCGTACATCTCCCTCGGCTACCAGAACCATCGGTGTAAAAGTGTTTGGCGGTATGGTCCGGCGGGGGAGGCGGGGCAATGCCTGCGGAAGTACCAACTTGTAGGGCATCCTGGAAAGCCTTAGTCTGTTCCGGCGTTGGTGCAAAGACCTGGAAGGGCTTAGGATTAGGGTTACGCTTGGGGCGCTTTGCCAGCTTAACCGAAATTTCGGTAACAAGCGGGTAGTGATCCGACGCAAAGCCGCAGTGCAGTAAGGACCTGCAAGATTTGACAGAATTGAGCCACTGTCTTCTACAAAGAGTGTGGTCCAATTTCTGAAATCTAACCGGATCAACCTGTGGCGGTATGGTCGGGGGGGCAAGGAGCGAGGGGACATCCAGGAAGGATCGAATCCTAAAAGCAATGTCGAGGGCCTGGGGTCCAGCAATCTGCGATGTTTTGGCGTAGAATTGCTGTAAAGCAATCGGATCCAACACAAACTGCGACCAGTCCTGTGGGGGGGCGGCTTTGTCACGATAGGTGATTTGCTGTTTGAGGCAGGGAGTTCGGAAGCTACAGACTTCAACCATGTTTTCCTGTTTCATGAGGTTAAGGCAAAGGGTGCGGTTGGTCGATGGCTTGGGTCCCTTTACCATAAACGAAAGGGCCCAGCAATCCCTGGTCCTTCCTGTGGCGAGCCTGGAACCTCACATTAAGATCTCCTGTGAGGAAAACGGGCTCTGGTTGAGGAATTTTTCCGAGGTGTGCCTCCAAAGTTTCCCAGAAAGGGGCTCTATCCTCCTCAAAATCTAAACCAGCATGTGGGGCATACGCTCCAACGATGTGAAAGGACCCCCCCTGCTGGCCAAAAGTGAGGCGTAGTAGTCTCGGGGAAACCTGCAATACGTCTTGGAGGTGTGGTCGAAGCCAAGGAGAAACAATGGCCCCTACCCCTGCGTATCGGCTTTGCTTGGTCCCCGAAAGAATCACCAAGTGTCCCTCCGATTGATAGGAATAGTACGAGGTTGTTTTGGTTTCCGTGAGGATCAAAACTCCCAGCTTGTGTTCCTGCATGATCTGGATACACGCCTTAAGCTTAAGCGTCTCTGCAAAACCCTGTACATTCAAGCAAGCAAATCTGAGGCGCTGACCATAAGCTAGAGGCGGTGTGGTCGGGAAGTGTACCGAATGATGGCTTCGTTTTCTTTTAAATCGCCGTTGCCAAAGGATAGCTTGTTTGAACCACTTCGCTCGGGACTGAGCGGCGTGTTGGGGACTGGGGCGCGCAAGGGGGCGGGGTCCCGCCCTCAACCCCCCACCTTGTTTGCAATGTCTTCGCCACGCACGGTACTCCCTCCGTCGGAGCCTGCGCTTGGCGCCCCTAG